ACCATGGCCACCTTCATGTTCTCCTCCGGCACACTACCTTCAGTGTCTCTACCAGCTCTCTTACCACCACTGCCGTAATCACTACCATCGCCACTAGCAGTATTACCACCACCACTAATTGTCCACTATCATAATTGCTTCCATGTTTTCCACCAGCACCATAGCCACCACTATGCTCACCACCACTATCCCCACCATCTCCGTGTTCTCTATCAGTTCCATAGCCAACGCCTCCACCTATGCTAGGGTTGTAATCCGATTGGATCATATTCAATTTGATTATCAAACCCTTAGATTCGAATCTGATCTAAAACCCGAAATGTTAGTTTCAGATTGGATTTGGATTTAATGTGTCTGACATTTTATGCTTAAAAATGATAAACAAATTAAAATTTTATAAAATTAATAAGTTCTAATTTATAAATATATAATGGATATATATAAATATAAAATATTAAATTTATTAATTATAAATTTTATATAATTGTACATAAAATCTGTATACATATTTATATTACATATATATAACAATATCTAATCAGACTCGAATTTTAATGGGATTGAATAGGGCTAAATCTGCATCCAATGCAATTAATCAGATGTAAGTTCTAACGATAATTGAATTTATGTCAAATCAGATATTTGACTTTCACCACCATTGCCACCATCACTAGCTATCATATCCAGTATAACCATGTTATCCTACAATTCCGTAGCCACCTTCTTCGTCCAATTCAAAGTAAAGAAAACACCTTTGCTCAATAATGGAAAGGAAACAAAAGTAAATTGCTGAAATCAAAGTAAAGAAGATGTTCCACTCCCCACAAATGGATTAATCGGTATGAATTTATAGGGTAAATTGCTGAAATCTCCCCTGGAGTTTAATAATTGCAATCACATTCTCTAAACTTTCTGGTACAGTTGCAAGTAATTCTCTTTGGTAGAATTTTTTATAAAATGTCCAAAATGCCCATGAAGGTATTATTGAGGTTAGTTTCTACAGAAAAAATAAACAATGCAAATTTTATGAACAATAAAATAAAGAAAATTAATTTAAAATTGCAACTTTACCTTTGATTGATATGAAGGAAAAATTTGAAAAATAAATTGATTTCAGAAAAGAGATGGAAAAGGCTTGGGGTAGTGATTCATATGAATAGAAAATTTGGAAAATAAACATTATTGTCAAAACTCAAGTAACTGCATAAGTATTTTTGACAATTTTATGTCATTCTTAAAAAATTCTACCAGATGGAGACTACTTGCAACTATGTTAGAAAATTAAGGAGAGGTAATTGCAATTACCAAACTTCCGAGAAAGTTTCAGCAATTTACCCAAATTTATAAACTAAAGAAGGTCAAAAACCGAGTGGATGCTTATGGAGTGGTTGTAACCTTTATTTCAATTCTCAACACATACAGTCTTAAATAACTTTTAGTTAGCCATAACAAATTAAAATCTACCTCTTCCATACCTTTCCATACTTCTATTAGAATCCCATCAGGTGTCTTCACAAATATTTTATATTTATATTACATGTCATATAACATAAATTATTATATATACTAAATATGATGTATTTAGTAACATGGGCCTGAATCTTGATCTGACTCGGATCAGCTTAAGCTTGCATGCTTGGTAGATCGTTCATGGGCCAATAACCTGACGGGCCCGTCCCTGCCTAGCCATTATTTATCAGGTTTGGACATGATTTTAGGTCCCTGGGCTAAGGCTTGAGCCTAAAACACTAGGCTTGACTTTTTTTCTAGGTCGGATTTAGGCTTTCCAAAAAAAAAAAAGTTAGGACCAAGCCTAAGCTTAATCTGATAATATTTTATATAATAAAACATAAATTTTATTTAGTAAAAATATATTTTATATTTTTTTTCTTTGTTATCACTTTTCTCAAGCCATAGTGAGATCTTTCAATATTTTTTTGGCTCCAAGGTTGTTTAATATAAATAAATCAGTTTTGTACTTTTGATGTTGAGTAAAAAAAAAAAAATCTTCTTGACCAATTTCTATATTGGGCTTCGTGTTTGGACCCAAACTTAAAGCTTTATATGAGGGTTAGGCTCGGGCTCAATATCTAGGCCTGATAGTTGGATTATGCTTGACCTCAGGCCTAAACACATCATGTTAATAGAGACAAAGCTCAACCCAATCCGGCCCAGCTCAGCCATGAATAGGGATGGCAACTTTCCCTCTCCAACCCCATCGGGTTGGGGTCAAGGACGGGGAATGAAGTCCCCGCCCTGCCCCGATCCCGGTTATATATATTATATTAAATATTATTTATATTATATATATCAAATTATATTTAAAAATAATATTTATATTTTAAAATTTTCTTTTATTTAATTAAGTAAATTTAATTTTCAAATAAAATTTGTTAATTAAAAATTTTAGGGATTTGGATCCCATGGAGAACCCACCTTCATTGAGGATCAAGGATAAAGAACAATTTTTATTCCCAATGGGAATCAAGGTCAATAATAAGAATTTATCTCTAAATCAAAATTAGAAACAAGGAATATGATCCTGCTCCAAACCCACCCTGTTTCTATTCCTACACATGAACAGGTCTAATACTCATAGTCTCAGAGTTCTTACTCCTTTGATGATCCTTTACTGAGCAACGGAGATCCAAGAATCCTTGGGGCCATGCAACATGTATCACCTGGCATTTATCATATGAAGTATTATAGCGCTACAATCCTTTTTATCTACTTGCATGTAGGGGTGTCAATTGAACTGGATTTGGTCCAATCTAATTCAGTTTAATGTGAGTCCATTATAAATGGACCAGGTCCAACCCACTCCAATGAATATTTTGGACCATTTCGGACCGGTCCAGTTCAATGTCTGGACCATTCAATTTGTTTAAATTCATTTTGATTTAGATTGGTTTCAACCCAAACCTGGTCCATTGAGACCTATATTCTTATCTTATATCAATGAATCAGATATTGGCTTAATTCCACCCAATCCAATATAAATTTATTACGGATGGACCAGGTCCAATCCAATCTAATAAATATTTTGGACCGAATTGGTCCAATCCAATATGTCTTGTTGGTACTTTCCAATCCGTCCAAATTGATTTTGGATTGGACGGATATAATCCAAAACCGGTTTAACATCGTACACTGCAGGTGGATCTCGTCTCATTTTACCCACCCAAATTTCCATCCGAGAAGGGCTGCTTGATACAAAATATTTGTATAATTTATCTTTCTATAGAACAAGATCCCAGCTATTTCTTTACAAGTTTGTTAACAAATTTTTACAAATCCAGCTGGACCTCTCTCTCGTTCTCTCTCCCCTTTATCACCAAAACCATCCTTTGATTTTATCTAGTAACGACGGTCTCATTGCCATCATTCAAAACCACAAGTCAAAAGATAGAGCCTTATCTATATTATTTTAGACCATTTTGGATCGGTCCGAATCAATATCTCTAACTGGACCAATCAATCCGTTCAAATTGGTTCCCATCCAAATCTGATCCATTAACATCTGTATTCTTATCTTTTATCAATGAATCATAATCTTATTTCAAATATGATCTAATCCAATATAAATTCATTAGGAATGGATAAGATCCAATCCAATCTAATAAATACTTTAAACCATTAAATATAAACCGATCCAACCATTTTGATTTTGATTTAGACATAGTCCAACCCAAAGCCAATCCCTTCTCACCCCTATTTATTACATGCTCTATTCATTAATGGTTCTTGGCCCGGCTAAATGTCCCCACTGTAGTTTCTCTTTGCAATACTACTATTGTTTTTCACATTCATATATTTAGCATCTAAGCAGATAAAATCTTATAATACTACTATTTTGTTTTTTCACATTCATATATTTAGCATCAAAGCAGATAAAATCTTATAGCTAACTGAGGGATAATTCGATAGTTAGATGATTTGTCTTAGCAAAGATGTGGCTTCTTCAACTCTCGCTATCATTGTCTTTGAAAGAAAAGAATTGAGATCATTGGCGCCCTACTGATACGCGTTTCAGCGTGCATTGAGAATATTTCCCACACTATCTTTGAGAGATGTTTCCAATACACATCTTTTAATACACAGTTGAGATGTATGTTAAAAAGTTTATGCAAATTCAAGAGGGAGGATATAAAGCATGTTTTCTTGCACTTCAACATTGCTAAGCATGTTTGGGGTTGTGCTGATGTCAATCCTATAATTTTAATGGGGAAAGTAATCATCAAATGGTTCATTGGTGGATTACTATTCACAAGAGGGACATTACAGAGAAAGATATGCTGAAGGAAAAGTGTGTGTTCATTCTATGGCAAATATGGAAGAATAGAAATGGGAAAATATTTGAAAACAAAGAGGATGATCCCCTGCTTATTGCTGAGAAAGCAGACAAGGCGTTTGCAGAGTTCCAAGAGCTTTTAGATAAGTTGGATCACAGCATAGAAAAGAAAAAAATGTAATCTTTTTACTTGGATCCCCCCGCCCCCCAAGTATGGTGAAATTAAGATAAACTTTGATGCCTTTCGTTTGATAAATGATTTTTGTTCTGTTATAGCAATTGTAAGAGACCATTTGGACAGGGTATTGGATTCCAAATGCTTCACTCTTGACAATACTTCTATTAATGCGGTTGAGGCTTGGGCTGAGTGAAAGGCGGGGACTCAAAAATTGTTATTAGCTACTTAAAATAGCAGATATCTTCACTGTAAAATTTTAGGAACATCATCTTAGATTGCTTAAAGTTGAAGCAATTGCTGGAGCGAGGTGTTCAATATAGACATGTGTTTAGAGAGGCAAACCTAGCGGTGGATTGGCTCACTCACAAAGCATGTATTCTACTCATTCTGTTTTTACTTTTAACTCTTGTAATCTTTAGAAGGATCTTTGTTTTATTTGTTTCAGTGACTTTTGGGGTCGTGCTTCCCCCGGGTTGTGTAGCACATATGACGCGTGTAAGGAATTCAGGCGTTGATTAATACCAAAAAAGGTTAATAAAATCTTCTTAAATTGAAAATAAAAGTAGATAATAATTCATGCATAACAGATCCAAGCACAACTGAGTTGATACAGAATTACTACAATGCTGCCCACTTACTCAAGACGTAAACCCTTTGATTAGGCTACGTGTGTGACCTTCCTCTTACTTATAACAACTTTATTATATTTGAAAAGAGATACCACTTGCTTAGGCTTCCCGAGGGTTTTTCTCAAGGGGCATATCCACCATGGCCACCTCCGGCTCCATAGCCACCACCGCCCCCACTACCATAGCCACCTCCATGTGCTCCTCTAGCACCATAGCCAGTACCACCACCGCCTCCACTGCCACCTCCACCACCATAACCACCACCACTTCCCCCTCCCGCTCCCTCTCCACTACCATAACCACCACCATGTGCTCCCCCAGCACCATAACCACCGCCACCACCGCTACCACCACCTCCACCATAGCCACCACCATGTTCTCCTCCAGCACCAAACCCAGCACCTCCACCAGCTCCTTCTCCACTACCATAGCCTCCACCTTGTGCGCCCCCAGCACCATAGCCGCCACCACCGCCGCTACCACCACCTCCACCATAACCACCACCATGTTTTCCTCCAGCACCGTACCCAGCACCTCCACCAGCTCCTTCTCCACTACCATAGCCTCCACCTTGTGCTCCCCCGGCACCATAGCCGCCACCACCGCCGCTACCACCACCTCCACCATGTTCTCCTCCAGCACCATAGCCAGCAGCACCACCACTTCCAGCTCCACTACCATATCCACCACCATGTTCACCTCCAGCACCATAACCAGCACCAGCACCACTGCCAGCTCCACCACCACTACCAGAGCCAGCACCACCCTTTTCTCCTACAGCTCCATACCCAGAACCCCCACCCGAGCCTCCACCCCCGCCAGAGCCTCCTACAACTCCTCCCCCATAACCAGCACCTCCTCCACCTCCATAGCCTGAACCGGCACCGATGCCAACACCAGCACCAGCACCAGCACCATGGCCGGCAACACCCTGTGAGCCCAGATCATAGCCAACCCCCTCCTCTAGAGTGAGAAGGGACCTAGCGGCGGAGCATATGCACATGCCCAACAACAAAAACAAAACAAAACTAGAAATTCTGTGAGTAGCCATGGGAAGATGTTCAAGTCCCACAACCACGGGATGGGAAGAGAGGATCGGTATTTATAGGGATCGCGAGGGTGTCCAAAAACCGCGTCGCATGATCTAAGCAATGGTTGAGGCACATGCAAAGGGTCCCACAGTGTGGTCCATTAGACCAAAATATACACTCACTCACTCACTCATGCTAGGAGTCTCTCGCTAGTGTGGTTTCGCTGTCGTCCATATCGGATCAAATGTATCAACTTTTGTTAGGTAAAGCTTCGGACGTCGTCATTTTTCTTTATTCTCTACTTTCTGATGAATGTACGTCGATCGACTTATTTCCATATCGTTTCACACCAAAACTTCATGAACTTGAGTTGTTAGTGCACAAATCTCCCAGTGCTTCTGCATATATGGCATTTTGGGCCCATCGTATAGCCACTTCTTCACCATGGATTCTGTGTTTAGAGCCATAGATGAATTCATGTCTCAGTCGTTGTTCGCAGTTTTTGGGTCTTTTTAATGTGAACCAGTTTTAGATGAGCTTCACAAGGCAATTGATGATGAAGAAATTTGGCCTCTTAATCTTGGATTGAGGGTGACTAGAACATTATATTCTACTACTGCCTCATTAAGAAATCAAATATATGCTTTCCCGTCCTTTCGAAACTCGACCATGATCACAATTCACAACTCAATTGAGTTTTGTGTGGAAGGAATACAAATACAATTATGTTGCGTGTAAATACAAATAGTACTATACATATTTTAAATACATTTGTATTTATATTCTTAACGAACTGAACCTCGTACAAATACACAAATATGTAGGTGCAAAATTTTGTTTTTTATATTAGGGTTATTTATTAAAATACCCTTATAGTTTTATTAATTTACTAAAGCCTACCCTATATATAGTTTGTGTTTTATTAAAAACATCCCTTACAGTTTGCAATCAATTTATTTAGTGGACCTTTCATTAGATGAAAATAGAAAATGATAGTTTTAATCCTAATACCCATTCAATAAAATTTAATCAAAAGAAACTAACAATAAAAATATTATTTTTGCCCCTGTTAAAACATGGACAATCACACTATCATTTTATACAAAAAGTGTTTTAATCTTAATGACTAAGTACTTGGTCAATTTTGTTTTTTATACAAAAAGTGTTATGGGTACTTTTGGAATAAACAATCATGGATCTATATCCTTGAACATTTTTCACTCAGTTTAGGGGGTACTTTTGGAATAAACAACCATGGGTCCATGCCCTTAGCATTTTTCAGTTACTTTAGGTGATTATTTTACTATTTTTAAATGGAAAAACAAATAGTCCTTCAAAGATCCATTATACAAATAGGTTGCATACTATAAGAGGTGTTTCAGTAAAATGCAAACCATAAGGTAAGCTTAAGTAAATTTGTGAAACTATAGGAGTTATTCTAGTAAATGACTCTGGCCAAATTTCTTAAATTACCTCTATGTTATTAGCTAATTGACTAATTCTACCCTTACTGTTTAACTATTATCTTAAAATACCCTAAGTTGTGTGACAAATGACTAAAACCTCCTGTATTATTAACTTTCTGTCACACTCAGTCATATATGACATCAGGTGACTAATATTTTTTCAAAAATTTTAAAAATACCCTTAGTATCTCCATGTTGAAAAATTCCAGCTTTCTTACATACGAGTATCTCTCAAATCTCAGATCTCAGACTCCATGCTGTCTCTCTCAGACTCCATGTCGTCTCAAATATGAGATCTAGTGAGAGAGATGGCATGGAGTCAGTCCAGATCTCAGACTCATGCCGCTCCTACGGTATCGTTTGAAGCTCACCAGAATTGTTGGTCGAGACCCAGATCTTAGTCCAGACCCCCTTTCCGATTTGCACATCGCAACCCAGAAACGGGCATCAACATCGGACTGAACCTCCTTTCTTATCTCTTTCTCTTGCACAAATTGTCGTGACCACCCCCTTTTCCAATTTACACATCGCAACCTAACCGGGCATCACACTCCCTGTTCTCGGACGTGCCTTGTTCTGTGGCAGTGGATTGTTGCTGCTGTCACCGCTAGTTTGAGTTGTAGTTGCGGTGGTTGGAATGAGGTCGGTGGTGGTGAGGAGCAAGGGCGAGAGAGAGAGAGAGTGTTGAGAGAGACAGCTTTCGGTAGGAATAGGAGGTGACCCGTGAACGTGAGGAGAATGGTTGGCACTAGGGTGATGGGTCAACGTGCCTCACGTTTACCGAAGGACATTAAAGAATGGGATTATTCTCCGGCGAAGAATCATGTATGGTTGGCGTTAATAAAGGAACAATGGTCCAAATTCTCTATCTTCTGGGTTCAAATGAAGAAGACAGTGAATAGTAGATTTGTTGATGGAGAGAGAGACATTGATGCAGGAAAAGGCAAATCTGGCAGTTACAACTTCTAGATGATAAAAGCAATGTTTAGAACAGAGGTCGTTCAGGGATGATGGGTTCTTTGCCCCAATTCGTTCCCAATAATAGAGGTCATAAACATAAGTATACGTCTCAACGTTGCCTCCACTTCTCCAAGTGGATTCTTCGTCAGAGAAATTGGGAGGGTACAGATCCCCTGTTAAAATCAAAACGTTTTACGCACTAGCTAGGCAGTATTCTGGGCCACGCAATGGAGAATTTGTAGAAATCAACACCCATGTTCTTCAACAACTGAACATCTTCCTGTTAATAAAGTGGTAAGAGATTGATAGTTATTTTAACTCGATCTGATTTAGAACAAAATGAGTAATTTAATTTAGAAGAACTGACGTCTTCCTGTAAATAAACAGTCCAGATTTTATATTATGAGACACAATGGGAGAGAGGGAGAGAAAAATGAGAGAATGAGAAGAACATGGGGAAGAGGGAGTTCATATCTTAAAGAGCAAAAATGACATTTTGTCCTTTTCCTTATGATTTAAATAATAGCAATTATCAGAAATAGGGGTATTTTAAGATAATAGTTAAATAGTAAGGGTAGGGTTAATCAATTAGCTAAACAGTAGGGTCAGAAATTTGCCCTTATATTATTTGTGTGTATTTATACAATGCTATGATATTGTGATATTATTGATATTTGTACTTTCCAAATTGAACCAATGCCATAAGTAGAGGTGTAAATGGGGTTGTGCCGCTCGCGGCCTGACATGATGATCCGTGGGTCATGCCAGGTCCAACATGATCATGCGGGCTGTATTGGACTTGGTGTTTTAGGTCCACAGGCCGGCACGACACGACATGACCAAGAGGCGGCATGACCATATATATTATATATATTTATATAATATTATATAAATTATAATTATATAATAATATATTAATAAAATAAATATTTTTTTTATTTTATTATACTAATTTATTTAATTATTGTATATATAAATAATTTTATATACAATAACTATACTAATTTATTACACCTCTAGCCACAAGTCTCCTAATGTCTCAGCCAAGCCAATATGGCAACTTACGAATCTACTACATCTGAATGTACATTTCCTGAATACGTCTCATGAAATGACTTCCCCCATCACTGAGCAGACTCCACAAACTCGACAAGTCAGTATTTCAAGCCAACTCAAGCCTTTAGGCATTAAATCACTATTGTAGGATGTAGCAAATATTTTGATTCTCTCAGAACCGGGTAGACAGTCAAAGTAATCTTTGATTTCAGTGCAATAACAATGATAATTTTTTATTAGAAATAGGGTAAATTGTGCGAAGAAGTACGGATAGGCTAAATGCAGATTAATGACAATTTTTCCCATCCTCGGCGGGATCCGACTTCCCCAATCTCATGGGGATTGTTTTGGCGGAGCGAGGACGGAGACGGGGATTAATAGGGATCCCCGATTAGGGTCGGGGTCGGGGATGGGATTGAGGTCCCCGTCCTGCCTCGACCCCGGTTATATATATCAAAATATATTTAAAAAATTATTTATAATTTAAAGTTTTTATTTATTTTAAGTAAATTTGTTCTTCAAATAAATACTGTTATCTAAAAAACATTTTTGGGATTCGAGTCCCTACGGGGAATCCATCCCTGTTGAGGATCGAGGATGGAGGACAAATTTTATCCCTGGCGGGGATCGAGAACGGGGACAGGGGTTACTTTTATAATTAGGGTTGGGGATGGGGAATATGATCCCCGCCCCATTGCCATTCCTAATGCAGATTCCTGATTTCCATGCAGAACTATAAACATTCAAAAGGTCAAAAACCCACACTTTATGCACCCATACCCGCCTGTGAATTGGCATCAATTCTGAACTGACGCCTACCCCAAATGTACTTTTAACCCACAAATTCTGACCTTGGGCTGAATCGTCATTCTCCCTAAATTGTGAAACCTCCCTTAAAGTTTTTGATAGTTGCTGAAAGCTTTCTTAAATTTAGAATAAAGGCAAATTTAGTAAATAAATCAATTTTGGAAAAAAGATCTGAAGAATTTGAGGTAGTGGTTCATATGAAAAGAAAATATGGAAAATAAACATTTTTATTCAGGAGAGGTGATCACAATTACCAAACTTCAAAGAAACTTTCTGAAGGGGATGAGAGATCCATCGTATGGACGCCCAAATCTTGCGGAATAAAGGGGCGAATTTCAAAAATTTTTCTCTCCCTTTCAACTGAGAATCGCATTCCCTGTTTAGAAAATCATATTTTCAAGGATCAATCTTGAACTATAAACTGAACCAGATTTGAACCAAAAGAAGTAGGAGAGGATTATACTTGATACGGAGAAAAAGTATCTCCCAACGAAGGTGTTCATGCCCAAGGAAGGATCCAAAGACTGCTCCCACTGAAGATGGCGCAGTGTAGGATGGAGCAGAATCAGCAGTATTCATCTTCAAGATCTGGTTCTGTGGGCAGATGCAAGATTAGCCCATAAGATATTATCCTCAATGGTCTTGCACTTAATCTCTTAGCCCATAATGATCATACACTGCCCGACAAGAGAGGACATCGTCCTCGGCTGCAAGGAACAATGTTGCATTCTCTACTTATATGGATCCCAGGAATTAAA